CATTTTTCTAGGTTTTCATTTGCAATAACCTTTTGGAATGTTTCAGCAATTTGTTGTTCACTTGGAAGTTATGTGCTATGATGTGTAAATCAAGGTAAAATAAATTCTGATTTAATGTGTCTTGATTTTAGGTTGTTAGGCCACAAAATGTGTTACACTGGAAAGGGTGTGTAGAGTTTCTATAGACACTATAATGATATACTCAAAGATTTTTTACACAACATTCTTCATACATGTCTTTTAAGACCTGTGTTTATTGCACTGAACTCTACATCAGGGCCCTTTAATGTGTACAGGCATGGAGGGCTAAATAGCCTGCCTTCATCTCAGACAGTCCTTAAATATTAAATTGCAGTTTCTTGACAAGATATGATTTGATTTCCAGTCCTTACCTGATTTCCAGATAAATGAGAAGAGAACCTAATGGGCCAACAGTAAAGCCCTGAAGAAGGCTCCACGGCCGAAACGTTGTGTTTTTTCTTCTTTATTTCAGCATGGAATAAACCTATTGCTTGTTCCTTTGCAGCCTACGCATGCTGACGCACCTACCCACCTGAATTAGAAAACAGATCTGACTAACAAAGTTGCTTAAGAAGTAAAAACGCATGGACCAATGTGGTTCAATACTTTTGCAGGTCATTGGGTGAGACTCACAGTGCCTTTATACAACATACTGTATAAACTCATATGGGGCATCACTGTCTGACTACCGAAGACTTATTCTAAAAGCCCAGACTTTTAGCAAACATGGCATTTTCTGCATAATGAATGTAAAATGTGTTTTTTACTAGACATTCTTGATCTTTTAATTTATTAGCTCTGTAAGAACTAATTTTTCCAAAGATGACAAACAGCCAACTGCAGTTGAATTAAGCTGGGACAAAGTTAACACGGCACAGGGTTCTGAACCCCATCAGTGAGGTATTGCACACGTGCTAGTACCATGTGTTTCCCTTTGCATCTCTCTTTTACAGCAAGGAAACAAGTTTAGATGCATTGTGTCCTTTCTTTTAGTGACTGAAATATAAGTTGTATCTCCCCCTTTGACAGATATCCGTTTCAAAACGGCTTGCAAAATATGTGAGGAATGCCAAAAGGGAAACATGATTGTTACCATATAGTAGAATACAGTATCTGGTACTGATTTGAAAGCTGTTAATTCTTTATTATGACAGGTAGTGCAATATAAATGTGGCCAGAGGGGTATGTTTAAAAATATGTTGATGTCATGTAAATGGACAGAGTAGGGGGTTATTGTTATATATACATTTACATATGCTAACAATAACTTTTAAAATCTATATTCCCTGCCATTCAATGCCAAAAAAACATCTGGATCTCATTTTCCTTCAAGATCTCCCATGGCTTTTTTCAGAGCTGCATAATGACCTTTTTTCTCTAGTAAAACACCAGTAAACAGACCTTCACGTCTGTTGATACTGAGTACAAGAAAAAAAATGGTTTAGATTTAATAGTAAAGCATTTACACTGTGATATTGAAGTTTTTAAAATATGAATAAGCTTAGCAGTTGCAGACACTATACATGGAATATAGCAAAGGCCTTCCATCTGAAGTTTGCTTTATGCTTTGGAATGCAGAGCTTGCACAGAAATTGTCCATGCTCACCATGTAAACTGTTTTAAGTTCCAAATAATACTTTTTATATATAGACAATACATATGAGAAGGCATATGATTGCTGTTCAGTCCCTAATTAGTGAATTGGTGAATGAGTGTAATGTTCAGCTGGGTGAAAATAGGTTAACATGTCTCATGAAACCCACTCCAAATACTGTGCATTACAATATGGGGAACTGCTCATGCACATCCTGACACTGTGTGTGATTCTATCATGAACATAGTACAAGGTGTAAGGTAAATGATCACAAAGCATAAGAGTCAGCAACTACAGTGTCCGTGGGGAAAGATTATACAAACATAGACAACAGGCAGGCCTTGCCTGGAGCATATTTTAGGCATTTTAGAGGGGTGTGGACAATAAGGCTTAGTCTCGAGCCCACATCTTCCAGAGTTGACAGACCTCAGTGCAGTAAATTCAGCCTCTAAAACACATGCAATATATTCCATTTTGCGGTTACAGTGCTTTCCTGGGCTCACGCTACAAACTTGCAAAAACAATATGGCATTTTCAAATACTTCACCACTCTGTTCTTTCTCATGTTTCATCTACTTGTTTCCACACTCTGCACTCTTTCCAATACTGCCACAGCCCCTGTGAATGAAAGCTAGGAAACACTGCCCGCATCGTCCTCCAAATTAAATGGAGAGGGAGAATTGCATAGATCTGACTCCTGCTATTTTTACATTTTTTCATTTTCATGGACACTTAAAATAATATTGATCTACCCCCAAACTACCCAAAACACATCACTTAGAATTCTCAATGACTTTACATTTACAGAGTATGAAGTGTAAATTTATAACCCACAGACCCACATCTTAAGTATTCTACAGTAAATGCTAACTGCATCCTTCACAGATGAGGGACATTTGCAAAAATGAGTCACCCCCACAGCTACCACTGTGTGAAAGAGGCCCTGAAAAGCCCAGGAATATTCCATAATATAAAACAATAAATATTGTATTTGGACTAAAGACTGACCTCATGATTCACAATAAAACATTATGTATGGACATGGGTTTGCCATTATACCAGGGAGATGATTAGGGGGGACTGATTTGAGTCATCTGGCATACAGGCCAAAGTGTAAGGAGGATAAAGCCTTGAATGCATGTCAATCCAAACTCCTTTCTCTCTTGGTTCACTTGTTTTCTCTGGTCCAATCTGCAGGTCTGCCCTTCTGAAAAGAGCCAGTGGTCGACGCCAATGAGTTCAGTGCCAGGCGAGGTCAGTTTCATTAAACATTCTGTGCTGTTTAGCATAAAGAGGCCAAAGAGAAAGAGAGGGAAAGACATAAAGCAAGGCTTTGTTCTTGGCCCACTTCACGCAAAAAGTAGGGTCACAATGGCACTTGCAAAGCAGCGTCTTTCTTGCACTGGATCCAAACCCTGCTACCTATCTGTTGTGCGTTAATAATTGCATCTTCTGTTAGTACAAATCCATAAAACTGCTGAGCCTCACCCCCTCGAGAGAACCCACAAACCACTTCCACATGTGCTTTTTCCATATCCTGCTGCTATCCTGGAATTTCGTTTATGTACATTGTCAAACTCCTCACAGTATGAGAATGAAGAAAGGAAAGCAATTATGGGACAGGAGGGAGGGATAGGGAAATAGTGATGGTGGGGGGTTTGTATAGTGGATTAACGTGCTGCCTTAAAAGCTCAACCCCCCCCCCTCCACACATGCACCCCCAGCTTGTCCCTCTTCATCCTAGACTGGCTTCAAATCCATCCTAGAGACGTGATGCTGATGGGCCTGCAGTTCACACGGGAAGGAGTTCTGTCTACATCCTTTAGCTCCCCTGTGGTAAACAATAGCCCGCCCTGTCCTGAGCACCAGCTTTTTAAAGGGTCCTGAGAATTTTAATGCAGACTTAAGTTTTAAACATCTAATTTTTGATGAGACTGCAGATCCTGGGTTCTTACAATCAACGTGAGATTTATTTGACTCCGGATATAAAATACAAAAATGCCATATATAGTAAATGCTCACATAAACATGTGTTACTTTGGGATAAGATATTGATGTCATCTTATATACCCTTTTAACATGGTTAATTTTTTTATCGACAGCAGTTCTGCATTTTGCAGTAATTTTGCGTGCACGTTATTTGACTAAAAGACACTCAAGTCATTATTTTCGTGTATGGTTTGGCTCTAGGAGATTGTGAGAAGTCTGCACATATGATGAGTGTCAAAACAGGAGAGGGCTCCTATGGGAACAGCTTGTCAGGATGTGGCAGGAGAAGGAGGAGCCTCAGGCCTCAGTGTCTCCTCTGATTCCATCACTGTGGAATCCTAGGAGCTGTGGAGTTTGTCTGCTCTCAAATCCCAGAGAGAGCCTTTCCAGCCTTAAAGAATGGTGGGTGCTCTGGGTCTTAAATGAGCGAGAACAAACTTTCTTTGGTTTACAGATAACTGGCGCTGCACGCTCTAAGGGTGAACCACACAGACTTTATCATCCATCCATTTTCTAAACCACTTTATCCAGCACAGGGTCACAGGACATACCAGAGCCTAATCCTGTAAGCAACAGGCTCGAGGCAGGATACACCCTGGATGGCACACACAGATACAGACAGACTCATACACATACACATACCAGGGCTTATTTTTATGGAAACCAATTAACCTACCGTTATGTCTTTGGATTGTGGGAGGACACCTAAATAAAAATGGAGTGATCATACTAAATCCATGGAGATAGCATGGTAGGAACTGAACCCAGGGCCTCAGCGCTTTAAGGAAGCAATACTAACCAGTCTGCAACCATGCTAGCATGTCATTATACATTAGTGCAAACCAGAACACACAATACCTGAACTGGAGAAAGAACTCAGAAGGAGAATGTTGAAACCTATGTGGTAAAGGGCTTCCTATGCATCTCTGGATTATAGCAGGAATGTGTTCTACCTTTTCCCTCCAGCCCAGATCCCTTCACACAGAGGAATGGCTTGGCGGGGAGAACCAGATGTTCCCAGTGGTGTTTTAAGATGGATGTGGTGGGAAGCCTAACCTTTCAGACAGGAAACTCAGGAACAAAGTTCCCCTCCCCCACTTCTAAATCCCAGAGGCTGGGTTTGAGCCAATCTTGGGAACATAACCGACAGCGCTGCACGCTCCTTGAGGCTATAATTAGCAGCCCCTCCAGTTTAACCCTGTCAGAGATCTCATTGCAAGACCCGGGAGATGCTAGAGCAATCTTAAAGGAAGCATGCTTCCACATACAGATGTCGCTTTAACATTTGAAAACAATACACTTTCCTTCCTTGGCATTTTGTAGCATTGTCCCCATGTCCACTGGGGGCTTCACACTCTAAGGGAGGGACCTACCAAGGCAATAAGGAACTTCTCACCATTCACATAGGTCAATCAGTCTTCATGAGTAGTGGCTATAATCCAATGGTCATCTAAAAAAAAACGAATAACAAGTAATTTATTATAAATAAATATAAATTATAAATAAATAAAATAGGGATCCCACATACCTAAGGGAAACAAACAATTTTCCAAATATTTTGTGTACTTATCAGACTCGTTGGGTGAGATCCCACCCACTTAGATTACAGTTATTTACAAGATTACAGTGCTTGCATGCTACTAGTGCTCGGAACATACTTTGTCAAATACCCCTGGTTTGTTTTATCTATGCTCTATATAATTAAATTACATTAAACAAACAAGCACAATACGTATGTTTTTCATCATAACTTTATCTCCATAGTGCTGTGAGCACATCATGTTTTCCTCAATTTACTGTGTGGGCTGGTTAAATCTTAAAATAACAAGCAATTTTCTTCGTTTCAGCAGCAATCGGCGGCTCTGTTCCAAGCCATTCTCTTCTCCACTCTTGGAAATAATAGAAGGTACAGATTGCAACTTGTTTCTTCATTGTGTTGAACTTCCATGCTGAACAAAAACCAGACGCTGGCATGTTAGAAACTGAATGGAATAATGTTCATTGCTGGATTTTCCAAATACATTCTTCAGGGAGAGACTGATAGTTCCATTAGATAGGTAATAATCCTTTAATATGACTTTCAAGTTCTTTATGAACTATGAATAGTTAATATATGTGTATTTTATCACAACCATAAGTATAACTATGTTCAGTAAAGAAAATATGCTATTTTTAAGACTACTCAACTTGTTTTCCTACACAATATGACAATGACTAATTCAGCTGACAAATTTAATTATTTTATGCTCGGAGACTGGATATGCAAATTGGATGTCTTCTTTATAGGGTGAAAATTTCAGTAATAAACTCAAAATATGATGGCTAGGTTCAGTATTTGAATATAAAAAAATAGAATATTTATACAAAAGGCTTGTGCATTGCAGCACATTCAAAGATTTGAATATCATGCACTATCAGGATTCCAATGCAGGGCAGACACAAATACAGACATGCACCCACTCACTCTTAAGGCAAATTTTACCAGAAGCCAATTAACCTACCAGCATGTTTTTGCAGTGTGGGAGGAAACTGGAAAGCCCCAAAAAAACACACAAACACAGGGAGAACATACAAACACCATGCAGATAGCAGCCCAGGTCAAATTGAGCTCAGGGCCCCAGTGCTGTAACCACTGCACCATCATGTCACCCAAGAATTATACTCATTGTATTAAAATAGTCCCACGTGCACATTTGAGTGTTAATGTAATGACCTGTACAGAGTAGCTGCACTGCAGCTATCTTCTTTCACTTTCATGAAAAAGAAGCGAGAGCTGTTGGAAAGGGAATGGAAGTCTGGGCAGGGAATCGTCTTCATATTAGTTCTCTTTGTATATAATGAATTACAGTATTGGATTGGAAGCTCTTGGAAAACAGCTTGTGGGATGTTTTGTAAAAAGAACAATTTTGTTAGTGCCACTTAACATTGTGGGCTTAGCTCAATACCTTCCAAAGCAATGTCTCCAGAAAACTGTCCCTAGCTGCGTTTGCCACTCAGATTTATCTGGAAATGAAGTTTACCCCTAAAATAAATCACACTTCAGCACATAATGACTGTGGCGAGAAGCTGGAATCCCTGTCTCCCTTGGGGTCTTAAGTTCCAGGGTTATGTGTCCAAGTAGGCATCACACTGTGTGTAACAGCTGAGAGAGACAGACAGTGTCTCTAATGAACTGTTATGGCAACATGACATTTGTTCTGTTTAGACTCCTTTGGGCTGGCAATGAGGTAATGCCTATTATATAACTTCAGTATAAAAAAGTGGTTACGTAGAGGGTAGAGTTGACAGTGGTAGTGAAGGGGTGACTGTCTGGGGGATCTAGGTTTGAATATCTGCCTACTAAACAATTATCTTTATGGAGACAGTCAGATGCAGTGACCGTGTGGAATGAACTCATGATGAGATATCTAGGGATACAAAGGTTCCACAAAAGCAAACTCTTAACATTCTTTTCAAAAACCATACATCCCCACAGCTGTGAGTCATAGAGAGCCACACAGCAGCAAATCAAGTTCTCTCTTAGCCCACCAGTGTGGGTGCCTCATTGTTTATGAGTGGATGTAGGTGAGACGTAGAGAAGAGTCAGAAAGAATACCTTCCATTGAAGTTTATAAGCAGCTGGAAAATACAAATACTAAATACAGTTAAATTAAAATTTAAATGAAAATGTAAGAATTTGTAACCGAAGTGTCAATTATGTCCTTTGTTAGAGTTATTGTGTGCATTTTAAATAATTTAGGTACAGTTGGTCTAAGAAAAGGGGAAAGTTTTTGCTGCTGTTTAACTTCTTTCACTTCAAGTTTTCATTAAAACATTCACTTTAAAAAATGTAATACATTTCTAATTCAATAAAATGGGTCATAACGTAATACTTTACATTTGCAAGCCTCTGTATACACCAATAGCTCTTACTCTTGCTTATCAGAGCACAGGTCCAAGCACAGCCACTCGTCAGGGGTACAGTACAGAAAAAAAGGAGGCTAGCACCTGACTGGATGCACCAATGCACCAAGCATCTGGTATACACTGTCCCATGTAATTGCTTAATCAGCAGTCCCTCTGCATGTATGTGGGCAAATACACAAGTTGCATTTAAAATGATCACAAGTTTCTTTTAAACCCACCATCACATATTGTACGATACAGAAAATAATATATGGTATAAAGTCTGGTTAGTGCCATTAATCCAGGAGCATTGTAGAATAAGACGTTTAAAATAACCCTGTTTAAAGTAATTGACAAGCTGCACGAAAGGATACAGATCTCTCTCGAGAGATAAGTGACAAGTGCACTCAATGAATACAAGCGAGCAATTAAGGTGTGTGGAAACAGCATGTCTTTTCTTCTTCCTTTCTTTTCTCTCCGCTTTTGCCGCGGTTGAAGAAAAACCATAGCGATGGGTGCGCCAGGTTTTTTTTCCAGCCACAGACGTTTCTGTCATTGCTCGTTAAAGGATAATAACAGGGGAGGGTTCTCCAAGAAAGTCGACCACGAAGCCATGGAGCTTCTGCTGCTGCGTCTTAGTTTTCAAAGAAGGATGAATAATAATTATGGGATCATTGGTTTTTTTTAAGACCAGATGTCTGCTTTACCTGTGGAACAAGATGCTTTATCTGCTTTTGCTTGGTGCAGTATTGATTAGCAATGTGGTGGACAACATATGAGCATTTATTTTTATGAAATGCTGAAAGTGCCTTGGGCAAGCTGAAGGCATAACAAGGCAACTTAAGCTTGTACAATAGTGGAATCCGAAGTCTTCTTTAGACTCCCAGCCAAAGATGAGCATGTTTTGAAGACGCAGTTTCACTAATTTACTTCAAGTCTAAAGACGTCCATGTTCTACAGACTAACGGAGAAAGGCTGGGAGGTTGGTTAGTAATTGCTTTCTGGCTCTGTGTGTTTATAACCCAAGATTTCCTTGGACGGCTGCAAAAAATAAACACTTTGCACTGTTGTAGTTTATCTTCCTGAATGCCATTGAGGACCTGATGTTTGAACCTCCTTTCTTCCTCATAAAATCAACACTAGATGCAGAGGTTTGTAATAACCAAAAAATACTCAATGCAAACAACAGAAGTGGAAAAGGACATAGCTGCACTCATTTACACAGACTGTCTGCAAAGGACTGCATTATGCATTTTAGATGCACAGAAATGAGGAGGCATCATTTGTGCTTTATTGACTGATTTTATCAGTTAAGCTTATACGTAATATTGTTTTTTAATACTTAATACGTTTTATTTCTCCATCAAATCATTTTCTATAATACAGTCCTATATATGAAATGGATTCAATATTGAATTATCATCTCTGGAAACTGGGAATCAAGGCATAGAACAGCCGTATTAATCTGGTTTCAGTTACAGCCACCAAGGATATAATTTAAAACACTTATTCCAAAAACTATTAAGAAGTAACAAATATAGACAAGGCATTTTGGCACAAATATACTATGAAATTTTGCAAGAATATATTTAATTATTTTCTTTGTAGAGATTTTCTGAGAAAAACTAATATACAGTAGATGAAGTGTGAAATCTGTGAAAAAGTACAAACTACTTTAACAAAGGTGGTCCACACAGCCACTTATAAAATAGCACTCCTACCATCTACTCCATGGTAGGTGAGCCATTGCTTTTACCGCAGTGTTACAAGCTCTGCAAGCTGTTAAAATGGGAAGGAGAAAAACTCCACTTGCCAAAACACAACATTGTGGATCATTAAAAAAATAAATTAAATTACAGTGTGCCACAAATGCATTTGGTTTTGGGTTTTTGTACAGAAAGCTTCCAGCATGGAAGGGGTTTAAACTGCTGTGGGCTTAACAGCTGCAGTGGGATCTGTGCATTAAACAATGGCCTTTGCTGGAACAGGCAGGAATAATTTCACTGGGAGGCAGATTTATGTTCATTCTGTATTGTAATGTTGTTGGATCAAGTTCAGGATTCCTGTCATGGGTTTTTGAAAAACGAAAGCAGCTTCAGCCATGCAGTCGGCTTGCCTTCCTTGAACCAGCTATGTCTTACGGCGGGTTTGGTGTACACTACGCGTGGCAGCGCTCTGTGAAGGTCAAATACCCCTTCCAAAAAAGTCCTACCATCCACATTATAGAGCTCGTAGGCAGATGTGTGATGAATGTTGAGGAACTGTATGAAAAACACTGCTGAACACTGTACGTGCAGGATTTATGTTCTACTGAAAAGGAACTGTGTGGTTGTTTAGATCATCAGTAGTTTAAAGATTGATCACCATAAGCTATTCTAAAAACTATAGAATGCATTGTTACATTTCAGATGATAATATAAAATTAAAAAAAATATATGTAGAAACATCTCTCTGGTAAGAAATGTTAGTTCCACAGAAACCTGATAACTGCAATAAAACTAACATACATGAAACTAGAAAAGAAGTCCACTGCCAATGCTTTTTTATTTTAATACCACAGATCAG